TTCTCATTCACGCTAAACTGACTCCTCTGCTGTTTACCATCCGCGGCTACATCTTATAACGACACTGAATTTGCCACCCCTCTTTTTTTCGCCGCCCCTCTTTTTTTCGCCGCCGCTAGTGCGGACCTCACTGTCTTTTTTCCGCCTTCCACCCTACTCTTTCTCCCCCCACCCGATCCTTATCAGAAGTCGAGTAAAAAGAAGTCGAGTAAAAAGATGTTTCTTCATCTTGACACTCGAGAATAAAATACGATCTGTGTAAAGATGATTCCATGTAAGGAAAGGAATAAGCAGATTTTTTTCATATGATATGCTTGTTGTTTTTATACCGCAAAGGAAATGTATGGTTTTTGCCTAACTTATTCAGTCATATACGATAATTTATACAGTCATTCACATATAATTCTCAGTGAGCTGAATCAGTCTGCTTTTTATAAATTGAGAGATGTAAAAGCAATATATTCCTTTGCGCGAAGCAAAAGACCCACCTTTCACGCCCCGTCACGCATAGACGTTTCATTCGTCAAAGGATAAAATGTGTGTGATTATGGCAAAGCCTCGAGGGCTATTTGCCTAAGGGGAGGGATGCCTTCGTGGAGGACTTTCTAAGGGAAACTAGCTCGTTACACATGGGGAAAACCACGAAAACGCCCACGCAGCCAGACCGTTCGCGGGATTCGAACCTCGGACCGAACTACCAGTGTTCAGCGAATTTACCGCTCGGCCGTTGCTGGGCCGTCAAAGGATAAAAACTTTAATTTTAAAATACAAGAAACTGTCTTTTAACACGGTAAATGTTATAAAAACAATAAATGTACTTCTTAAGAATTTAATTTTTTTATACTTTTTTAGTTCTTATGAATATTTGTGCTTTGTTGTAACTAATATAAGACATTTCTAATGTTATAATTTTAATTGATTAGTGGAATTAATTGGTATATGATTAATTAATTGGTATAAGATCATTTGATTCTTAATTTTTAAGTTTGTTTCACAATTTTAAAGCTTTAATATTTTTCTAATATATTGAAATTTTTAATGGTAAGCTCTTTAATTGACCGCAATCTGAAGATCTCAATTTCCAGTCTTTTTATTTTTTTTTATTTTTTATTTTAAATAGTAATCAGAAATATATAATAAAACGTACTGTAGGAGGGTGATTTTCTGAGACTGACTGGAAATGCTTAGGAGACAATTAATACAAGACATAATTTTTGATAATGTCTGCTATAAAATATTGTCAAAGGTTTTAATACAATCGCAAATTAACGTCTTTAAATAATAAAAATAAAAATTTCGCCCTCGTTCACTGTTTTGGTAGCAACAAGCTGCATAAACTCTTAAAAATTAAAAGAAAATAACTAAATACAAGATTTTCCAAATTTATATATTTTACTTTTAACTAAGTGAACGGTCTTGGGGGGAAAATGTGACCCAAACTGCAAGGAATACATTGTTAGCTCTTCCGGTTTCAAGTTTTAAAGATCATCAAATTAGTATTCGTCACATTTAGATAATAGTGAAATATTTCACATAAATTAAGAAAATTAATTACATGCCCTACATTTTACACTATGATGAACTATCAATTTCAGCTGCAGCTTCACTACATAAAAAGATTGTTATTTAAATACGCTGGATTTGGCAAGAAGTCGCCAAATGTGTAGCAAATCGGAGGAACTGAATCTCCGCGGGCAGTTTGCTGCGTATGGATCAAGGAGGTTAGAATAACTTGAAGAACAGGGTGAAAGTTCTAGCCTTGTACGTATTCTCAGGTTAGCCAACACCGACTCTACTACAAGCCAGATGGCGATTTTGTGACGTCACAAGTTGTGGTCATCGGGGATTTGATGCGTCGTCCGGTGTAACGAACGAAGCGTGGTTGTTGCTATCGCTATTTTACAGTGTTCTTTTGTTGACATATTTGTTGGTCGATTCCGATTTAATTTTGACAAATATGGGTGGATGTGTTGCATCAAATTGTTCCAATCATTCAAAAAATAAGTTTAGGACGTTTCGCCAAAAATGAAGAAAGATGAAGAAAATGGATAATTAATTCTCGTCAAAATCAATGGATTCTGGTCTCAGGAGGAGCCTGTTTTTGAGGTAAGTTCAGCTTCGAATTTTCCCATAGAATGTTAGAATAAATTACTCTTCGTATTTCTTTAAAAATGTGCATTTTCGTTTAACTATCATTTATGATGATCAAATGATTTTATAAATACAAAATGAAACTGCAGGAATGTGTGTGTGTTTGTGCAGTAAATAATAGCCGAATACTGTTTGTGATGTTGTTTCTTTTATTATCGTGAATAGTTTATGCTGTTTGTAAAATTGTACACTACATTTCATGTAAATTTTGTGCTTGGTTAGAAATGTGATATGCCTTTCCGTTTGTTTCAGTTTTACTCTACGCCTGGTAATTAGTACACTTCATTTCATGTAAATTTTGTGCTTGGTTAGAAATGTGATATGCCTTTCCTTGTTTCAATTTTACTCTACGCTTGGTAATTTAAAGTCGCATGCTATATTTTGATGTATTGTCACCAAACCTGTTAGTTTGCACCTTTGTTAAAAATTGGATAGATAGTATGATCTAAATTATAAATTATTTAGGTTTTTCGTTATATTAAGATAAATAAATTGTGTATTTTTCTAGGCATTTTGAAGAAGTATTAATTTAAATATTCTATGCATCATTTTGATCCTATTATCATGCTTTTATGTTATAGTAAACCTTCATGTTGTATTTCTAACTATAGTTACTTTAAATTTATTTTCAATGTGTGAACAGGAAATATGTTTTAATTAGCAGTATTAATTAATTAATTTTGCAAATTTAGGTGGGGTTTAAAAGTCCTCCTGAAATTTTTAAATTATGCTTTCTATGTGAAAAAATAATTCAAAATTTTCGAGACAAAATAATATGTGGAAATATAACTATGGATGAAGAATTTATAAATATGCAAAAGCAGATAAGGTAAGTATTCCCCTCCTGTTAAAATATCAAAACAAAGATCATAAAATGTTTGACTGCACGTGGAATTTTTTTTTTTTTTTTTTTCAAGAAGCTTATTCAAAATAAAAATCAGCATGAGGAAAGTTTTGAAGCTCCTGCTTTTAAAAGGGAGAAACTAAATTAGAATCTGAATCCACAGTTTAAGAAGTTTTTACTGTTCAGTTCTGTCTGTGAAAAAGTACATTAGTTATTGCTGAAAAATTGTTGCTTATCTCTTAGAACAATAGTTAGACCCACGAGTAGCTGAATGGTTAAGGTTACTGAATGCTAAGAGTACATTTTCTGTTCTTTTCTGAACATGTCGGCTGCATGTTCTTTTTTTTTTTTTAGTTTGTTATGGTTAATTTTGAATTTAACTCTTTGGTTTGAAGATTAGCCAATTTATCTAAACACTCCTAATTTCATTAAAATTTGTAACTTTATGTGGGAATGTGTAAGGAGATAATTGCATAATAGATTTTTCTTTAATAAATACAGATATTTCTTGATTGTCATTCACAACTACAGAATAATCAATTGATGGCCCAGGACTAAAAACAATATGAATAAAGCAAACAGTTGAGGTATCTGGAACCGGGTATACATGCCAAAATGCTGATATTCCATAGCGAGCAATACATAAAATATCATTAAAACAATTAATTTTCAAATCATTATTATACATTTCATATTCTTTAAGGCTTTCACGCAATGCTTTCTGTAAATTATGGCACTAGCGGGCAGTTTTTTTTTGCATCAGGATCTTCTCGTACAATGGTGCTACTTTTTGAACTGTATACAGATGAATAGTCCTTAAATATCGATGGCACTGTATTTTCTTTTAATCTACGCACCTGAAGTGGAGCAGAAATTAAAATTCCATTCTTAGAATAAAATGCTGAAGCTTCAACTTTAAAATCACTTTCCTTGAAATGCAATTCACAAACCTTTAGAGAGGGGAAAAAAAAAAAAAAAAAAAAAAACCCTTATTTTAATAGTAATAGTTTAAAAATCAGAGGGTTCATTCTGAGCGTTTGTAGTAAAGAATATTCATTTCTCAGATAGAACCAGAGAATATCTGCAGTGAATTAAAGCTCTATTTCAATCCTTTATTTCTGTATATCCTGGTTTATGTAACAAAATATTATCATTTAAAAATTTCTGAATAAACCCTTGTATATAATTAGAATCTACACTGTTAATTAAAAACTCTTTTTGAACTCTTTTTGGGTGAAAAGTCTTTCCGTTGGATTGCAGAAAGCCACTCTTTCTTCAAATCTTCATTTTTAGGAAAGGAGAATACAGACACTTTTGGTCCTGTTGGGTAGTTTCCCTTACATAATGGTACACAGCATCTACCCGGCATTTTTAATAACTGAAATGTTTCATATTTAAATTAATATATAAAAAGGAGTAAATAGTGTATGTATAAAATATAAATTAATTATTTTTAAATATAAAAGGGAGTAAATAGTTATAGTGTATAGCTAATGGCATGTAAAATTTTAAGAATAAGCTGTGTTAGCTTGTATTATAACATCAAATTTATACAGGAAAAAATCCATAAAAAAAAAATCATAAAAAATGTTTTATTCTGAAACAGATCAGGTTATATCATATAACTTATGCAAAGCCCATTTGTTCTACGATGGGCTGACACAACATTATTCAAAAAGAAATTATACATAGCACAGCAGCCTTGTCTCTACCAGAAATAACACATGTGTACTAGAACATACGCCTAAAAACGTTGATATAATTAGAAAAATATAAATTTACAGAAGTAAAGTAATGTATTCTTACCTCTCTAAAATACATCCAACCTTAAAACCATAAAAAAATCAAAGTATTCTGGTTCAGCGTTCGCACAACGTAAGAAGCTTCAGCAAAGAGCCACTGCATGCGTTCCGAAGTTTATTATGACCAGAAGTCGTGACGTCACAGGAATTTTCGAACCGCGCGCTTAGGCTTAAAGTAGAGTCGGTGTTTGAAGTGTATCATCTCGCACGCGTAGGTTTTATAAAATAAAAGTGTGCTTGCAGGAGACTGACTACTTCTCAACTTAAAGCATCAGTTGGAAAGGGGTGTATTCAATATTGTAGGATTTTGTTTTTCAGTTAAATCTTTCCATTACATGTCTTTCCGGTTTTCTTTGCATTTCGCATTCTCTCGGTCACTCTTTTTTAAACAAATTTGTAAAACGTCTCTTTCGCGTTTACATACAGTCCGCTGTAATAAACGTTTAGCTCCTGTTTTGTATCCACATAACTCATATTGCGGTTATCTTTACTACTCTATTCATTGCAAGAGCTATAGAAATATTAATAACAAATCAACAACTAATTATATAATGAGTCCATTAGCTGGAAGTGTGATGAATTGGGACATGAAAATTAATCCCAATGATTTGATTAAACAGGCTGATGAAGTCATTTCAAACTGTAGGAAAAAGTATGATGCTGTTGGAGCTGTACCTGATAGTGAAGTCAGCTACAAAAGTGTTTTAAAGGTATTATTGTATTATATTTAATTAGCTTCATAGCTTAATTTTCTCTATGAGGAATCGCAGTAAATTACTTATACATGTAAATTTCCTTTCGCACACCCAAAACAGATACAGAATTCGCAGAAATTGCCCAAACTACAAATAAATTATGTATTATAAAATATTTAAACTTAAGTTTTCGTCTGTGTAAATATAGATCACCAACTATAGCATTTTATGGGCCTAGTGTCACATACGAGTCTTTAACAGTATAAATATATTTGAATGGGGTTTTGTTTTTTAAAATCATTTCATAAAATAATTTTTAATTTCCTAAGCATATATAGCGTTATAAGAGCTTTGTTAAGGATATCATGTAAAAAGGAAGAGCCCAGATATAAAAAAATGCATAAAAATGAACATTGAATGTGTCTTGGTTGGATGCAAAATGATTGGTTGCGAGAGGATATCAAATCGCCAAATATGATTATTTTGAATCAGTAGAAAGAATTGAGAAAAAGCGTATTTCCATAGTTTATGATGAATTTAATCGATTTAAATAATTTGTTGAGCCTCCAGATTATAAAATATGACATCGAAAGTTATGTTGATCTTACATTAATATTAAATTTAATGTATAATAAATTAATTATATTTCTTTTCCAATAAAATTGTTAAAAGCATATGCCCTTTAATTTGTCACCAGTATCGTTGATTGGAGGCCAGCTAACACGGAAAAATATGCATAATGTTTTTAAATTTGAAAACATAGATTTTATTATATTATGAAAGTTGTCCAAAGTTCAGTTTTGTAAACTTGGGAAATGATAGTATTAAAAAGAAAAAGAAAAAAAAGCTGCAAAACTATTTTTCATGAAAGAATCTGTCATTTTAAAAACTGCTTAAAATTTTACCTAAGAAAACAATGCTAAGTAATGTAAAAAATTTTCTTAGTTGACATACAGAAATTTAGTCACATGTGCATAAAGGAAAGCATACTAGCTTTAAGAAATTCAAAGGTTTGAATTCCAGTCTTTTCAGACAAATTAGACTAGATGTGTGCTATAGTTCATTAAATATTTTGTTAAGAGAGCCCAGATTCTTATTTGTCAGTAAAATAGAAATTTTAAGGAATTATTAAAAGTATGTAAACCATCAAGATAGTGCAATAAATAGTTTTGGAAAAGGTGTAAAATTATTATTAGTAGTATAACTACTACCATCAGATGTATTTTTTAGTTTAAACTACGGATAGCTGATTATTTGTTAATTATTTTTAACTATCAATTCATTAGATTGAAATTATTTTTACTTTTGTGTGTAAAACAATCCTAGTATTGATAATTAAAAAAAAAAAAGGACTAAAAAATTCGGTACTTTTCCGTTTTGCCGGCGCAAGCGATAAAGTCGCCAATAATGGCATACAACCGATGCGAAACGGAATATTCTCGCTGGTAGCCTTTGACGCCTCATTTTCAAAACAAGTCGCAGCTTTTTCTTATCAGATTGATTGTTTCTTTCAATACTGGAATAAAATTACATAGAATTTTTATCAGATAGTTCATTTTTATGTCTAAGGCCATTTTTGGTAATTAAGTCAATTAGGATGCAATCACAGCGCTTACCCGAAGCCGAAAATATAGAAAAGGTGGTTGATCTTTACATTATGGTAACTTGGCGTTTTTTTGGCGAAAATTTGGCGACCAACTCTCCTACAGCAACCCTCTATTTTTTTTTCCCGCCGCCATTTTGTCTTCATGAAGTAAAGACATTTTCTTTCTTTTTATCTACTGAACACTTCTTCCAACAATCTACTAGCCGAATTACACTTATGCTAGAAATTTTATCTAACAAAACTGCTTAATCATGACAAATATTCACTGCAAAATTGGGAAAAAGTGCACAATACCATACTCCTTACGCGTTTTTCAAAATAACACATACACATAAACCATGTCACGTCGACTTATTTTTACTTAAAAAAACATCCCAGAATTACACAAAAATGGCATTGCGCACACTCTTCACTATATCCATGTACACTGCTTTTTTCTCATAAATTAGAAAAATTTCACGAAAACACATGACAATTTTCTGAATCTTTAAACCCGGTAAAAAGAACATATATGAAATTACCTGATCGGGAAAAAGTATATACCCTTTCCAAATATGAACATTTCCACATATAAAATAAGTAAAATATCCAAAAACTTTTACCTCTAAATCATCTATTATATTATAAACGTCACCAACGAATTCATACCGCAAGCATTACAAATACTTAGTGTCAAATATTTAAATTATTTTCATGCACGTTTACTTCAACTAAAACGTATACCAAATTCCTACAAACATAAAATTCACAAAATAACTATCATTTAATTAAAATATCACTAAACCATGTACACGTCGACTTATTTTTACTTAAAAAAACATCCCAGAATTACACAAAAATGGCATTGCGCACACTCTTCACTATATCCATGTACACTGCTTTTTTCTCATAAATTAGAAAAATTTCACGAAAATGCATGAAAATTTTCTGAATCTTTAAACCCGTTAAAAAGAACATATATGAAATTACCTAATAACGAAAGTATATACCCTTTCCAAATATGAACATTTCCACGTATAAAATAAATAAAATATCCAAAAATTTTTACCTCTAAATTATCTATTATATTATAAACGTCACCAACGAATTCATATCGCAAACATTACAAATACTTAGTGTCAAATATTTAAATTATTTTCATGCACGTTTACTTCAATTAAAACGTATACCAAATTCCTACAAACATAAAATTCACAAAATAACTATAATTTAATTAAAATATAATTAAATTCAAAAACACTACTTAAAATATAAATAAGCGCATACATTAAATTAATAAAAATTAGCTTACAATCCTAATTATTTTAAACTAAATCATTGCTAATAACAATTTTCCCAATAATACCAAATTACTTTACTTTTACCTTACATTTAGAACAATGCATAAAAATAATATCCTCAAATAATTAAAAATACTAACTTACCTAATCTTCTTCAGAATCTTGATTACGTGTCCGATAAACTTTTCTTATTTCTCTGTTTCAGGATCTTTAAAATCATACTTATAGTTCACAGCAAGGTACCAGGTAAAATAAATAACTTAATAAAACATCTTTACTTCTATCTCGCACAACCTTAAAGAAACATTTATTACTACCCCTTTCAATCTCACTAAATACTCATTTCGAATTCACTTTAGTTGGGGCCATGGGATCCAAAAATTAACGAACACTGTTTCACACAACACAGAATAAAGCCAAATACAAAATTTCCAGATTTTTTCCTGATTTCCCCCCTTTTCCGATTAAAGAACCGTAATTCGTTCATTAATATCACATGACATATCCCATGATCTCTCATTTCCCTCGCACAAAATAATGCGTAATCGGAACTGAGTACTGCTCACATTATTACCAAAGTCCCAGGTAGTAACCTTTATCGCCTCCAAAATGTCGCCAAACTACCAGTTACCATATTTTAAAGATCAGCCAAAATTATTTCATTTAAAATTATTATGCAAGTTAATTAATCACAAGTGCTTTTACATGAATAATTTTTTAGGTAATTTGTAATATGTCTTAAGTACTAATGAAAGAATTTACATTTACATTTTTTTATAGTCAAAAGTATTTAATCCGCACTCGTAGGGACTTCGGCGATTCCGAATTATAGATCATTAGTTTAAATCTGGTAAGATGGCATGTAGAAATTATAAAATTAAAAATATGAAACGGTAATTTATGAAATAAAGAGCAATTATGATCTAAAGGGTACCAAAATTTACAAAAAAAAAAAAAAAAAAAAAAAGCTTAATATTTATTTGCTTACTTTATTAAACATTTCTTTCAATGTAAGTTGTTTCGTTTTTTATGTGATAATGCATTCTCTTTAATTCTATAAAGAGACATAATTTCTCGTTCAGTTACAAAGTTCCGCTGTTCAAGTCGTATAATTGCTGGGTCGAGAATACCGACTAATTTGTCAATCGAAATTTTTTCATTTTCAATAACCTCTGTCACTCTCTTTGCTATCGGAAGTAAATTATAATGATGAGGAATTTGATTTAAATCATATCAAAGCCGGAGTACATCGAGATGAAATACTACATTTAGTAAGGAATTATAAGCCAAATAAAATAAAAACATCTGCCATGAAGATAAGGATAGTGCTGACAGATTAACTTCCAGTTCATTGCGCACCGCAACGTACCCCCCCTCTCCTGCAGAGCAGCGTGAAATTGATAAACAGATTTCAGAATGGTTAGAGGTTAGAGAAACAAATGCCTTTATTATGCCTTTATCCATATTTTGCAGTAATTCCACTTTTTGTTTGATGGACATCGAAACATGCTTTCGCTTTATAGATCCTTTGGCAGCTCCAGAATCAGAAATTCTTTTTGACATAATCAAAAGTTCAAGCTTACTTTTATAAAATTGCTCTTACAGTCTGCAAAAATAATAGCCGGATCCAATTAGAATATTAGGCAACAATGCAATCTGCAACATTAACTGAAATAGATAATTAGAAAATTTTAGCTTAGCTTATACTGTCCGTTATACATTAAATGTGCATGTGTAAACCTATTATCCGCATGCATAAACATATTATGCACATGCATAAACGCATATGTGCATGCGTCAACACAAACACATGCTTAGAAAGTTTGTAGCTTTGAGGTATGGATAATAGATCATTTCGGATTATGGACGTCCGGATTAGAGACTTGTGACTGTATACACTTTTCAGTTGCTGTGGCAGATTAAAAAATGCAGTATCTCATTTCATTTTAATTTAGGATGGAAATTAAACTACTTAGGAAAGTACCCTATAAAAAATTTATTTTATTTTTTTATTTATTTTTAATTTTAGGTACTGGACGATATTGACCGTGAATACATGAATACATTGTTTGCATTGAGCTTCCCGCAGTCGGTGTCAACAGACAAACTTGTTCGGGATGCTAGCACTGAGGCAGATCGTAAATTACAAGCTTTTGGTGTAGAAGTGAGGTACTTCATGCTATATATTCAATTTTATTTTGATTCTGCTGCTAATTATGTTAAATACATCCATCCATTTTTTAGTTTTGCAGCCATACTATCAATTATGCAGATCAACTTAATTACAGTCAAAAGTCGTTAATCCGGACTCGTTGGGACTTCGGCGATTCCAGATTATCGATTTTTCCGGATTATAGATCATCAGTTTAAATCTGATAAGATGGCATGCAGAAATTATAAAATTAAAAATACGAAACCGTAATTGATGAAGTAAAGAGCAGTTATGATCTAAAGGGTATCAAAATTTACAAAAAAAAAAAAAAAAAAAAAGCTTAGTATTTATTTGTTTACTTTATTAAACATTTCTTTCAATGTAAGTTGTTTCGTTTTTTATATGATAATACATTCTCTTTAATTTTATAAACAGACATAATTTCTTGTTCAGTTACAAAGTTCTGGTGTTCAAGTCCTATAATTGCTGTGTCAAGAATACTGACTAATTTGTCAATCGAAATTTTTTCGTTTTCAATAACCTCTGTTACTTTCTTTGCTATCGGAAGCGAATTATAATGACGAGGAATTTGATTTAAGTCATATCAAAGCCGGAGTACATTGAGATGAAATACTACATTTAGTAAGGAATTATAAGCTAAATAAAATAAAAACATCTGCCCTGAAGATAAGGATAGTGCTGACAGATCAACTTCCAATTCATTGCGTGCTGCGGCGTTAAAGATAAACAAACGTTAAAGTTTAGATGAACAAAAGCTATGCCTTTATCCATTTTTTTCAGCAATTCCACTTTTTGTTTAATGGACTTCGAAACATACTTTCGCTTTGTAGATCCTTTACATATTAGTAAATATATATCAGAAATTCTATTTGACATAATCGAAAGTTCAAGCTTACTTTTATAAAATTGCTCTAACAATCCGCAAAATATAATAAGCCGAATCCAGTTAGAAGATTAAGGAACAACGCAATGTGCAACATTAACTGAATTATATAATTTTAGCTTAGCTTATACCGTCCGTTATACATTAAACGCGCATTCGTAAACGTATTTTGTGCACACACACACGTGTATTCACAGCCGTAAAGGTCTTACGCGCATGCGTTAACGCGACGCATGCGCAGAAAGTTTGTAGCTTTGAGATCCGGATTATAGATCATTCCGGATTATGGGTGTCCGAATTAAAGACTTTTGACTGTATTAAAAAAGTAAAGTGTAATAAAAAAGAATTTTTCAGACTTTCACATTATCCTGTTCTCTAGTTTCATCACTTATTAGAACTGCAGTGTTTTTGGCATATTTTCATGTATATATGCAGTGGTGCCCAACTGTGTAGCATGTATGTAATACATGCATGCATAACATATATGCTTTGAGTACCTATGGCTTTACATGTTTCATATTTAACATTTTGCTGAACAGTATCTATTGATTGTAAAAATATCAGCCATATAGATTTTTTTCTCAGGAAATTTCTTCCTTCTTATCAAATGCTTTTATTATTTATGGGAGAACTGTTCCTATAAGCCATTAGTTCTCAAACATTTGGTACTTATTTGTTATCGCAACTACCTCAGTATAAGTCATTAAATTTTCAGAATGTGCTAAATTCTGGCAGCCATGTTTATAAAAATCCTTTAGAAAAGCAACATCTTCATTTTCTCCATGTGTTCTTTTTGTTGTATTCCAACAGCTTTTATTTAAAAAAAATCATGATATTTTATCCCTTAAAGTTAATTTAAAAACATGCGCTTGTGGAATTTGTCAGTGGTGGAAGAAACTGTTTTAAAATTTCTTCAGGAATGCAGAATTTTGACATAAACTGTCTAAATGGAACAACAAGAAGATGAGTTTGGGAGATAGCCAACATTACCCGAGTTTCAGTCTCTGAAATTCTCTGAATTTTTATTAAATGTAAGCTGATTGCTTTAGGGAGAAGAATAGCACAAAAAATAACAAATATTTGGAGAAAATATGTTTTATATTTTAATATATCATATGATACTTATTTAATAAATAAATTGTATTTTAAATTACTAAAGTATGTTTCGAGCTAATATCTCTCACTCAACTCTGTTTGAAACAAACACATTTTGTTTTCCAAAATAAATATTACAAGCAAACTGAAGGATTAGCCATGGGAAGCCGCCTCAGTCCCATCCTGGCTGATATCTACATGCATTATTATGAATCAAAATTGTTTGAAACTTTAAACTTCCCGGCATGGTTCCGCTACGTAGACAATGCTTTGACCCTGTTTGAAGGTATAAAGATGATTTAAATAAAGTTCTTTCAACAATGAATTCTATTGATCCTGCTATTCAGTTCACTTTTGAACTTGAGACTTGCAATTCTCTTCCGTTTCTCGACATTCTGGTCACAGGTACACATCCAACTTCAGTACTACGGTTTACCGTAAACCTTCATTGGTTTGCCTTCCACCACACTTTAAATCATGTCATCCGACTAAACAGAAGTTAGCTTCATTTTATTCCTATGTTTTCCGTGCTCTTCAAGTTTGCTCCTCCAAACTAGCCCTTGATGAAGAAATGAATTATTTAAAAGCAATAGCTATTGACAGGGGCTTTTCAACCAACATTATTAATCAAGCAGTTAAAAAATTCTTATCTCAACACACTAAAAGGCACACTCTTGTTTTAGGAGATTATAAAAATTCTGTTGTCATTCCCTTCTTCCATCTATTAGCTATAAAATTGCACATATTTTGCAGAAATTTTAGGGTTGTTTATTCTCCCATCAATAAAATTCCGAATTCCATACTCAAGGACCCCATTCCGGATATGAATTCTTGGGGTATTTATAGGATTCCTTGCCAGTGTGTTTTGATTTACATTGGCCATACTAGGAGAGCCTTAAAATTTTGCATCAAGGAACGTGAGGCATATGTTAGAAAAAAGGAAACACAGAAGTCTTCTGTTGCTGAACATTGTTGGTCCGAAAATCACACTTTCAATTTTTCTGCTGCGGATTTTCTAGAGGCATTTCACATTCAAAAAAATCTTTCTGTTCTAGTTAATGATCCTAATTCCAATCCATCTTTGCCTTTTGGCCTTTAAAGAAATTATGTTTTAGTTCTGGTTTCACCAACAGATGATGCCACTTGCTAATTCTTGTCCAGGCTTTCTTATCTTATCTAATCATTATTTCCTATATTGTTCATTTGCAGTTTTGCAGCTGAGGATGGTGGTTCGGTAAAACCATCGAAACTAGTCCTATAAAAATTTTGAAAATATAACGCTGATTTTTGTTGTTTGACTTCTGAATTAACTACACTTTTGTCATAACTTTTTTTACATTGTGCACTTTGTCTTCAGTCCTCGCATATTTTACTGTTATACTGTTGTGGTAATACTGTGAAAGTTTGATCTTAATTCCTCTATTTTTCTTCCTTCGGTTGCAGATATATCATGGCCGCTCGATTAGAAGTTTGCACCAAAGAGGAACAGCGAGCAGTGATCCGATTCCTCTGGTCGGAGGGTGTAAAAGAGTCAGACATGAATTGGCGAATCACTATCGATGAGGTAGCATCTGCTTTGAACATCAGTCATTGCTCTGCCCATCAAATCATCCATGACGAGCTCGGTTTTCATAAAGTCTGTGCACGGTGGGTATCAAGAAAGCTTACCTCAGAACGCAAACTCACTTGTGTTAGAGTGTGTCAACGTTTTGTCAAAACACAGTTTTACATGATAGTTCACTTCTCCCGTATTGCAATGATAGTCTGACCCTTTGACACCCTCCGACCAGAGAAATCGGATCACTGTGTGTTGTTCCTCTTTGGTGCAAACTTCTAACGGAGCGGCCATGATATATCTGCAATAGAAGGAAGAAAAATAGAGGAATTAAGATCAAACTTTAACAGCATTACCACAACAGTATAACAGTAAGTGAGGATAGAAGACAAAGTGCACGATGTAAGAAAAGTTATGACAAAAGTATAGGTAACTTTTTGACTTGCCCTCATATTAGTATATGTCTTAGTATGTTCACAGTATGAAAATTAGTTGCTAAATTACACTTAAAGAGTTATATAGTAGTATTAAAATATGTGTTTATGTAGCAAGAAATATTATGTTAATGTCATTTGGGAACTTTTAAATCTTGAAATTTTCTGCGAAATATCTTATTATTGAAAAAGCATTTTCGTATTTTCATGGCTGTCATCGTAATAACACCAAGATGGTCACCAGTTTTGTCTGAAATAAAGTAAAATGCCTCTAATTTTGGAAGAATAATGTAACATTTTCTTCAGTCATCAATATTAAAAAAAAATAATAATAAATAAAAATTAAAAAAAAATAATAATAATAAATAAAATGTAGTCTTTTTACAGATTTTATCTTCCTCAAATATATTTTTTAAAAGTCTAATTCTACTTAATTGATATCATTTCCTCTGCCAAACTGTGAATAAATTGCACTGCTCTTACAAATGATATTCTGGAGCCATTGAACCAGTTTTGGGAATGTATCCTTTTCTTTTGCTTCACTTTTTTGCTTTGCACATGCAAATTCTTTCATTTATGTATAATTTCATTTTGCAGCCATTTTCACATATTCAAATGCATGGTAAAATAACTGAGTACTTTTCCGTTTTGCCGGCGCAAGCGATAAAGTTGCCAATAATGGTACAACCGATGCCAAACGGAATATTCTCGCTGGTAACCTTTTACGCCTCATTTTCAAAACAAGTCGCAGCTTTTTCTTATCAGATTGATTGTTTTTTTCAATACTGGCATATAATTGCATAGAATTTTTATCAGATAGTTCAGCTTTATGTCTAAGGCCATTTTCGGTAATTAAGTCAATTAGAATGCAATCACAGTGCTTACCTGAAGCCGAAAATATAGAAAAGGTAAAGTCAAGGGTTAAATTCAATTCTAATGAGAATGCATTAGCGAAGTAAAGCACTGCAGTTTTACATAATTTCTGAGTAAGCTATTCGTACGAATTGAAATATTTCTTGCATATAAACT